TGGGAACAACACTCCGTGCAATAGTGTTGCGCTGATGAGGTGCTGGGTGAAGGAGAACCTCTCTTTGGCATGACTCAGGATGGTATCACATACCTGTAAAAGATACATCATCAGCTTTAATTTGCAATTAAGCTATTTTGATGCAAGTGATCCTGACTGACACATGCCTATGTCCAACTCAAGTATATGATTACCAAGGTGCTGATTGTTCAGGGTTTTGGCTACATACTACCAGGCCTGAAAAAAGTTCTAGGGGGAAACACTGACAATTACATCACAACTTACCTCTATAGCCAACCTCTGTTGTTCTCCTGGTCCCAGCATCCTCCGTCGCTTGATGGGCTGTTGCTGCTCGTCAGATGCGCTGTCCCCACACAAAGAGGGAATTGAGGCCCTGGGTCCAAAAAATAAAGTTTAATTTGATAACTTGCAATCAGACTTCTTAACTCACTGTAATTCCCCCTCAACACACAACCAGTGACTTTTATATATATATATATATATATATATATATATATATATATATATATATATAGACAGACAGACAGACAGACAGACAGACAGACAGATAGTGTGTATATACACACAAACTATGTATAGTAACTGCTTTTAACCTGTGATGTACATAATTAACTGATGTTATTACGTTTTAAAGCCTTTTTCTATTACATTTGTGAGAGGGATGCAACATCATTTTGTTCTGCTGTGCACTTAGCAATAAAGTTAATCTTCAATAACAACTAGGCCTCTTCTAGAAATTGACCTGGTGGACACCTGAATAATTATTACAAACTGTGTAGTACTTTCCTGCATTATTATCAACGTCTGATTGTGTCTTCTCTTTCCTTTTAAAATACTAAAACAAATATAATTGTGACGGCTCTATGATAATCACTCACTTTGATGACCAGATACATTTAGGCTTTTAAACTGTTGTAAGTGAACTATTCATCTTTCTAACAACATCTTTATCAGCCAATAGTAAATATAGTTATTTACCTGATTGTTAGCATGCTGTCTGTGAACCTCTGGACAAGTGCTTTAATGAAGACAGGGTCGATGTTCCTCTTCTGCAGCTGGCTGAAAAGCATGTCCACATTTGGCATGATCTTGTGGAACAGTGCCAGGAAAAAACAGAAAGCCTCGTCTTCGAGCATCCTCACAAAGCCCCCCGCCTCTCTGACAGTCGGGGCATCAAAGTTCCCAGAGTCTCTGATGGTCTGGAAACACGTTAGGAGGTCATCCCTGTACTCGTACACAGTGTTTACAGCGCGACTGTGGAAGTTCCACCGTGTTGTAGAGGCTCTGGGGAGTCTATGCGCAACCACTTCGTCAAGCACGGTGGTTCGCTTGGGAGACCTGGAGAAGAAAGCAGAAAATCCTGCAAGGTCGGAAAAGAAAGTGCCGATCCTGGGGATGCGTGAAGTAGCCTGCTGCATGATGAGGTTCAGCTGATGTGCATAGCAGTGGACGTAGTGCGCATTTTCGTACACATCCACTATTTTACGCTGCACTCCGCCGGTGGCTCCCCTCATCACACTTGCTCCGTCGTAAGCCTGGGCAATAAGTTTGGCCTTTTGTCCATGTGAGAGTATAGTGCTGAGCCTCTCCAGCAGCGCTGTAGCGATGGTGTCGGCGGTTGCGTTCTCGATCAAAATGAACTCGAAAAAACGCTCTTGGACGTTACTTTTAGCATCGATGTAGCGTATCACAAGCACCAACTGGCAGTGGGTGGAAACGTCAGTCGTCTCGTCAGCTTGAATGGCGATAAAATCAGCACTCTTTACTTCCTCCAGGATGTAATCCTTAAGCACTGACAGCATACAGTCCAACAGCTCGTTCTGTATCGTCTTTGACGTGCCCTTAAAAACGGTAGCTGTCTTCAGGTGCTCCTCCAGCACACTGTCGAGGGAGGCAACAAAATCCACTAAGCCCCGGAAAATGCCGGGGTTGTCCGAGGAGTCAGTCTCCTCGTGCCCACGCAAGGCCAACTCAAAAGCCCCACAGAACTTCACACAATCGATAATTTTGGATAGAATGTGCCTGTTTTTATCCACCTCCTCATTGTGTTTCCTCACCGCAATCCTGTGGCCGTCATCCAGCTGCGTAGCAATGTTCACCCTTCCTAATACAGCTAGCTTTACAGAGTTGTCCATGTGTGCCCTGGTGTTCTCATGTTTCTTTACCTTCTCTGACAGGTGCTTCATATCCCTCACTCCGGTACCTGTCCATGCTGAATCTGACCCCGTCGTTTTAAAAAGCAAGCACGGAAAGCAAAATAAAGCATTAGCATCAGTGCACCCAGCTAGCCAAGCCTTCCTGGTGTACCAGCTACGGGAGAAGCCGCGCATATACTGCTTCCCTTTCTCGCTAGCCTGCTGTCTGATTGAGAGGTCAGGTTGATCTGGGCCCAGCTCTTTCACCCGAACTTTCTCTGACAAAGTTCTCCTCTCAAACGGATCTTGGAGGAGAGATTTCACCGAGTTAGGGTTGGGTCTTGGAGGAGTAACGTTTGCGCTCGCCATTGTCGTCTAGTAAAAATGGCGCCACTGGAGCCCGGTCCTTATTTTATCAGGGGCGAGCTTGGGGCGATAAAATAATCGCCCTCCTTGGATTCGAATTAAAATAGCTGATTAGCTACATTTTATGTCATACATTCATATCTTAAATTAGCAATTGGCTTAACTGCTACGTAGACCCGCCTCCTCGGGGCACTTTCTGTATCGCCCAGAGCTGACGAGGCGTTTGACAGGCAGAGGAAAGGTTGCGAATATGATTTTCTATCATATCTTACACATATTACTGTGTGCATTCCATATTTCAAACACACAAATATTGACATACTGATGTTTTTATTATTATTATTATTATTTTTATTTATTTTTTATTTTATTTTTTAAAATAATTTTATTTAAGGGGGCGGCGCCCTAGCGCCCTCTATCGGCCAGCCGCCACTGGAGAAATGCCAATGCCATCCTCCGCTCTTTCATGTTGACGAAACGGTCTATGACTCTGTCATACAGTACATGCTTTTATTTTTTGTTGTCCTAGGCTACCTGGATAAAATGCTTGCTCGCTAGGCTAACTTATTTTCATTGTTAACATTAGCCTTCTACAGCTAGCTACATATTTAACTTCCATCCTCTCAGGCCAGGGGCACAATGTATGAATTTATGGTTGGATCAGAATCGACGTTACAATCATTGGCCAGGACAGAGAATTAAGTAAAACCACAAGTCCAAATCCCTATCTCCATCCATTGCTAATTTAGGAAAGGGACAATCTTAGCTAGCTAGCCACCGGAGGACAACAACACAATGAGATGCAACAATTCAAGTTGTTTCTGTCAATTATGTATTGCTCTCGATGTCATGTGATTGGAGTGAAGCCAAATCCAAACTGGCTTCCCTTGACACTTTTTTTTGGTGCGCCAGCACCATTCACAGTTGAGGTCGCTCAGTTTATCTCAACGCTGATTGGCTATTATTTTATACTTCTTTTATCAAGGGAAGCCAAATGCTAGCTGGTTTCCCTTGCATTCAATGCTACAATGTCATACTCTTTTTGACCAGACAGCATCAGATAGATGGCCTACACATACAGAGACAGAGGGGCACTGTTTTGCAATTATAAACCTACAACAGTTGTCTGCCACATCTCAACATGAGATGGCAAGTATCATCTACGGTAGCTACAAGAAACAATAAAGTAGCAATAATGTTGCCTAACACCAAATGCAATGACTAAATCATGAATCCCTACATGTATGTATCGTTTTTAAATATATGTTATGTAAAAAAAAAACTTTTATGGAATACATTTCAAAGCAATAAATGCATTGAACAACAAAAAATATGTTCTGCGTACATTTTGCATGATGAAAATATATATCCATATTATAATTATTTTGTATGGGGTTGTGAGATTTATATATGCGTTTTAAATACATGATCATATATTTTAAAATATATGTCACGTTTTTTGATATATATGGCCATACATTACTTTTCCCTATCCTGTTCCGGCACGATCCGGCTCAAATTAAGCACTGGATTTACTGTTATTTGACAGCTAAGAAGAAAATGTACAGTCACTCACCACGTTTCCATCCAGTTTTTATGCAAGTAAAGTCATACCTTATAAAAAAAAAAAAATGACTGAGCTGTGATGGAAACAGGTAGTTTCAGTACAATTTTATAAATGCCGACAGATTATTTGTTTGTTCGACATGGGATCTTTTTGTGTCAGTGAAATTGAGTATGACAAATTGTGGTGGAAACGCCTTTACGCGCAAATATTGATATAATAACCATCACTTAGAAGTACATTTGGAGTCACGCGATTATATGTGTGTGGTCCTCCAACTACGACTCTATAGACACAATACAGTTTATTAGGCTACAGATGAAATAAGTTATGATGAACTTCACAGGGTGGTGAAAGTGCAAGATGATCTTAATGCTCCTTTCCCATAAATATCAAGGGGCTTATTCTGGTGACATGATTGATGCTTGCCTGCCGTTTGACAAATAAAACTATTCTCGCTCTTATCCATAATAATCTCATAATGTAAACTAGCCTACCCGCACTGTATCTGCGAGCTGTTCGATAGAGCGCAAATGCCAGGACCAGAGTAGGGGCATTTGCTATTTAACGCAAAAGTTTGACAAACTATCAGTAGAATTGAAAATGCGATGGAAACACATTGAACTTTGATGTTTTATTTGGTACATGAAAATGTAAGCGAAAAAAACGTGTGCATTACGTCATCACGCACTGACTTAAATCCGCAACGAATCTGTTCCGTGCGAAAATGCGCATATTTTCTTTAGGTGGGTTTTACAATATTCACATGAAAATCTGTCGCCAATTGGATAAAACCTAGTTTATGAGCCACATTGGTTTACACAGCTTTCAGGGTGGCTCCCTGTCCTGCTCTTATCACATTACTTGCTCCAAGAGATCGTCATCAACTACAAAATTAAAATGCATGACAAAAGTTAAAAAGACAGTGGTTTCTTTATTTGGAAATTAAAAATCACAAAAATATTAGCTACCAACAATAAAAAATATTAACAACAATTGGTTGATTGTACAGTCCAGATGATTATCATTTCCTTATAGTTAATTAATTATCACTACTCAATGTCCAACATTATCATACAGAGTGAAATTCACTGGGACTTTTGCTGAGTGAGTGGGGTAATGAAGGAACTGCCCACAGACATGGGAACGTGCTCGGCCCATCTCCTGACCATCGTGTCTATAGGCTCAAACAACAACACAACACCCTCCCTGATACTCTGAACCAGAACACTTGTACCATATATTGCATTGTAAAACAGCTCAAAATCAAAGGAAATGACAAGACAAAGGAAATGACAAGACAAAGGATTTGTGAATATATCACAGCTCCTTGAGCAAATTGAAATGAGAGCAGCATTTGTGCATGCGTGTGTGTCACCACACAAGGTGCATGATTCAGTACCTTAAATACAATTAACCTAGAATGGTCCCATAAGACCACACTTGTTTACAAGAGTCCAAGTAATACACAATGCTAAATGACCCTTGTATTCTGGAGCACTGCAAAATCCCTCAAACAAACAAGGACTGTTCTCTTTAACAGGAAAGTTGTACCAAAACCTTCTTCTTTCACTTAGTGTTGAGAAATAAATATTGTGCTTCTAGGAGAGCATGGATTCAGAGTAGATCATGTGTCTGTACATACTCAATTGTAATACAACAAAGAAACATTAACCTCCCAGATATGTTCTTATTATTTGTATCTGTCTCCATAGCATCTAACAGGAGATAAAACGATGCGAGTTTACATTCCTCTATCCTTGACTAATAAACTGAGAAATGAAAAGGCTCTCAATGTGTCCTGTATAGAAAACTCCAGTTCCTCCAGAGGGTGGGATTAACAGTCTTGAATTTGCAGCTTCAAATCCAATTTCACCTCTTTATTTTCCCCAAAGTCTTTGCAGAACACACCTGATTGGACACTTTGAAATGGGCTAGGGCTATAAGCTGCAGTGATGAATAATGTATGAGGATGACATGGTGCAGTGTGAACCTTTAAGAGCCATCCTACATGGAAGGATACGGACCACTTCTTACAGGCGGCCATTTACACTACCATCTGATTCAGTGGGCTTGCGTTCAAAGGGCATACTAAATACTAAATCAACCACTGCAGAGCTAAATGCTGCAGAGCTAGATACATGTTGCTGTGACCTACGCTCCTCTGGTGTGTTGGTTTGACAACAACATGTGGCAAAGCCATTCCAAGTGAAAGGGAAGACGGTGTTGTCTGTAACTGGACATCACGACACTAGGGCTAAGGGTCCCAGTATACTTCCCAAGTGGAGCCGATCAAAAGATATCCTTCTATTCTGCTCTCACCTATTGTACAGGCACAATATGAGGAACAAATCAGGTGACAGAATGAATAGGGAGGTGATTAAGCTGGAGTCAGATGAGTTGGGAAAGACCATGAGTCAACATACTGCTCTCCTTGCTCTATTAGAGGAAATCAAGAGATGTGCTCGGTACAGTAACACGTTGGATGGCGATGATGATGCCCATCTCCTCGGAGTGATAAATTGCAATGTCCACCTTAAGGCCTTTAAACGTGCAGCTAAATTTCTCATGCCACATTTATGTTCAGTTTGCAGTGTACTCTACAGACATGGTAGGGTCAGCTGTATTTAGGAATGGGTTTAAATATTTCATTATTAAGGCAGTTACAACCAAGGACAAGCGGGAACATTCCACTGACCAATGCAAAGCAAGCTTGTCTCGTTTGGAAATATCATTACAGTTTTCACTTTTTTAACCCACTGTACTGTGGATTCATTAAATTGAAGGCCTTAGAGACCCAAAGGTGATTTGACGTGACTGGATAAAGGTCAGGTGGTCTGTGGGAGCAATACATGGACTCCAGTTATGCTTTCAGATGAACACAGATTAAAAACATGGAACAGTTAAAAGGAACATACAAGTCTCGACAGATGCATTATGCAACCATAACAGCTTGGAAACAAATACAGACATCCAGCAGTATATGAGTGTTAATTATTAAAATATAAATTCAGAAATACTTTCAAATTAACATTCCACTCTGGCACTTGAATATCCATTATTTGCTAGTGTATTTTTCATGACTGGCACAGAGAAACAAAGTCTTTCTCCTCCCTCTGCAAAGCGCACAGAGAGTGAGTGTGTCTGTCTGTCTGTCTGTGTGAGAGACCGAATAAGAACATTGGTTCTCCTTGAGGAAATGATACATCTCTTTGATTCCTCCCTCTTCTCTCTTTGCCCCAGTGTTGCTGTATGCATGTGCCCATGGTCAAGACGGGCACTTTGTCATTCTTTCTGAGAAAGAAATAGAACAATCCTAAACACAGTTCACATCTCTCCTTCACCCCTGCCTCTTTTCCCTTCTGAGGCCCACACCCCAAGCTGGGGTCCCTGGTCCCTGGGGGCCACTGGGTTGAGTGGGCATGGAGGGGCTGCTGTGTCTCTCCTACTTCCTCAGCTCCTGGTCACCCCGTGTGGCGGTGACTGGCTGGAGCAGAGGGGAGAGTGCATCCCCTCTGTGTGGGCAGGTTGGGGTGGCACCTCTGTCCTTGTGTCCCCGGTCATGCTGAGGCTACCTGGTGTGGAGCAGCTCCTCCCTGAGCCAGCTGGGCAGAGGCTGGCCCATCTTATAGAGCAGCTTGGACAGCTCTATGTTGTGGTCCCTGTAATGCTCCCTAAGGAAAGAGCGAGACTGCCACAGGACAAGAGGGAGAGAGAGAGAGAGACAAATATAGGGTCATATAGTTACAAGAAAAATTCTAATAGACCAATACATCATTTGTAGCTTCCACCCTAGATTCCGTAGTTGCCCATTTAGATGGTGTTCAAATTATACTAAAATCTTCAATGTTATCATGAATATCTAACTCTATGCCCAGGGAACAATACCACATTACATTTTACATGATCTGTCGTTAACTTAGTGTGCAGAGATTTTTTGCCCAGATACTGAGCAACTCAGGCAGCGGGCACTGCAACTCTGCTCTGTGAGTCTCATGAGCCCTGCCATTCTGACTGAAGCAGAGAGAGAAAAATCACCCGCCATTACCCAGCTAATTACCTCCGAGGTGTCTGTGCCAAAACAGTCAAGGTAACTTCAAGGACCTGAGCTCAGTGCCCACTGCCCACCTTGCCCCCCTCAAAACCCCTCTCTATGTCTGCTCATTAGACACTCTACCCGATCTGGTGGCTTTCCAAACCCAGCCTGAAAGGAGCCGAGTCTGTCACAGACAAGCAATGAGATGATAAAGCAGCACTGACTGTAGGAAATACATATTTTTTTCTTCTTCTATAAAATCTATTCTAGGAGAGACAATCCAACTATATAAAAATACTTGCTTTTCAAGGTGACAAAAGTGAAATAAGTGTTGAATAATTTAATACACTTTTATGTTTAGGGAAAGGTTAATAATAAATTACATCTGTGTCCATGTCAGGGTATTTCCGTCCTTTGCTCTTTCCCAAGCATTTGGTCTTCCCTCCATCTAACAACTGGCACCAGAACCCTTTTTTGGGATCAAACCTGGAACAGAGGAACACAGAACCATAAAATGGAGGCGGGCCAGTCAAAATGATGAAAATAAATTCTCAACAAAATCAAAAGGGAACATCCTGAACAGATGGTTTGCGGCTCTTCGTGTTTAGAGAAGAGACACGGGACAAAACATATCCATTGTCTACAGAGGATGTGGCTGACAGATGTTGCTGTTTACGAGGCTGGCTGAGTGATTATGTGGTCAAGCATCAGAGGCAGAAACAGAGATATGGGGGCTGGTGAACAGGGGGAGGCAAAAGAAAGGGTATCGGTTGTCATGGTGATGTCAAAGCGATGGTGATCCCTCCACAAGGGAACATTCTGAAAATCACATCAAAGCTGTTCACAAACCAAGCACCTCTGCTCCAAACAGGAAAGATGGGCTCCTCCACAGCCACACTGGTGTTGGCCAGCTCAATACATTAATCTGCATAATGTTACATTTCAAATGGTTAGGGAAACAAAAGCCTTCATTTGCCAAGTGTTGGCTCTAGCAAGTGGGTCTACAGTATTTCCAAGGCCTAATAAGACACTCACGCTAGAATATTGTGGTAGTTCAGTGTGTTTGTCAGCCCAAGGAACTTCTGGATCTTGTCCATCACGGCAAAAGGCTCCGTCCTCAGCACCTGACCATCCAGAACCAGGATCTGAGGAACCAGTTACAACACCACAGTAGGTCAGATAGACAAGATGAGCTGTCTCAAATACAACACCAACAGTCTATACACACCTATACACACACACACACACACACACAGTACTAACCATGCTCATACAGTATACAGTGAGGGAAACAAGTATTTGATCTCCTGCTGATTTTGTACGTTTGCCCACTGACAAAGAAATGATCAGTCTATAATTTTAATGGTAGGTTTATTTGAACAGTGAGAGACAGAATAACAACAAAAAAATCCAGAAAAACACATGTCAAAAATGTTATAAATTGATTAGCATTTTAATGAGGGAAATAAGTATTTGACCCCCTCTCAATCAGAAAGATTTCTGGCTCCCAGGTGTCTTTTATACAGGTAACAAGCTGAGATTAGGAGCACACTCTTAAAGGGAGTGCTCCTAATCTCATCTTGTTACCTGTATAAAAGACACCTGTCCACAGAAGCAATCAATCAATCAGATTCCAAACTCTCCACCATGGCCAAGACCAAAGAGCTCTCCAAGGATGTCAGGGACAAGATTGTAGACCTACACAAGGCTGGAATGGGCTACAAGACCATCGCCAAGCAGCTTGGTGAAAAGGTGACAAAAGTTAGTGCGATTATTCGCAAATGGAAGAAACACAAAAGAACTGTCAATCTCCCTCGGCCTGGGGAGATCTCACCTCGTGGAATAGCAATGATCATAAGAACGGTGAGGAATCAGCCCAGAACTACACGGGAGGATCTTGTCAATGATCTCAAGGCAGCTGGGACCATAGTCACCAAGAAAACAATTGGTAACACACTACGCCCTGAAGAACTGAAATCCTGCAGCGCCCGCAAGGTCCCCCTGCTCAAGAAAGCACATATACATGCCCGTCTGAAGATTGCCAATGAACATCTGAATGATTCAGAGGACAACTGGGTGAAAGTGTTGTGGTCAGATGAGACCAAAATCGAGCTCTTTGGCATCAACTCAACTTGCCGTGTTTGGAGGAAGAGGAATGCTGCCTATGACCCCAAGAACACCATCCCCACCGTCAAACATGGAGGTGGAAACATTATGTGTTTTTCTGCTAAGGGGACAGGACAACTTCACCGCATCAAAGGGACGATGGACGGGGCCATGTACCGTCAAATCTTGGGTGAGAACCTCCTTCCCTCAGCCAGGGCATTGAAAATGGGTCGTGGATGGGTATTCCAGCATGACAATGACCCAAAACACATGGCCAAGGCAACAAAGGAGTGGCTCAAGAAGAAGCACATTAAGTTCCTGGAGTGGCCTAGCCAGTCTCCAGACCTTAATCCCATAGAAAATCTGTGGAGGGAGCTGAAGGTTCGAGTTGCCAAACGTCAGCCTCGAAACCTTAATGACTTGGAGAAGATCTGCAAAGAGGAGTGGGACAAAATCCCTCCTGAGATGTGTGCAAACCTGGTGGCCAACTACAATAAACATCTGACCTCTGTGATTGCCAACAAGGGTTTTGCCACCAAGTACTAAGTCATGTTTTGCAGAGGGGTCAAATACTTATTTCCCTCATTAAAATGCAAATCAATTTATAACATTTTTGACATGCGTTTTTCTGGATTTTTTTGTTGTTATTCTGTCTCTCACTGTTCAAATAAACCTACCATTAAAATGATAGACTGATCATTTCTTTGTCAGTGGGCAAACGAACAAAATCAGCAGGGGATCAAATACTTTTTTCCCTCACTGTATACAGACTGAATAAATAAATGTTTGTTTCCATTTAACCACATGCTTTTGCCCAATCACTTACTGACAACTGTAAACACGCATGACTATAAGCATGCACACCTGGGACCCAGATGACCAAACGTACCTGGCTGGGTTGGTAGTGGTTGAGCCAGCGGTCCAGATGGGTGGCATACCAGCCCGGTACCATACAGCGGTTCTGGAGCACCCGCAGCTTGATGGGGGCATCGCGGCCAGCAGTGATGACATCATGGAAAGTATACTTCAGGGCGACTGAGTCGCCATGGGCACGTTGGTGCTGGGGCAGAACAGACAGATATGACATCACAGTCAGCCCATCTTGCCAGATTCATCCACAGCTCTGTGTCCTTGCAGAGGGCATTCCAACTCATTTCACACTCCTACAAACCGGTACATCACCTACTTCTATACCAGGATATTAGATAATTTATTTCCAAGCTCAAGGGAAATCATCAATGCAGCTGACCTGGAAAAGGAGTGAAGCTACCCTCAAGCCACCCACAACATTTCACCCAATTGCTATCCCTATAATAGAGTCTGATGTTGGAAATGGAACAGTGGGAAGTGTTTTTTCTCTGGGAGGGAGGCTCACCTGGTACCATGAGTAGGCCCTGTCTGCAGGGTTGATGAGGATGGTGATGATTTTGGCCTTGGGCAGGAGGGCGGCTGCCCGCCGTGCAGCCACCTCTGAGTCAAAGTAGTTGGCACTCTTCTCAAAGTAGAAGTCTGAGCTGGTGTTGGAGGGTAGGGGAAAGTACTCCATGTACCTGTTCCAGCGAGGAAAAACAGACAGAGCGGTTTGAATCAGATTAGATTAATCTTTGTCACCAAAAGACAATTCCTTTGCAGCATTTAAGTACAACATAACAGTATAACAACAACAATTACCTGACAAAAAGGATCAGAATGATTCAAGATAAACTATATAATTCTTGTCCATATAACAAATACCAATATCCTATGTAAACAACACAGACTAGTTTCATTTTTCATCAATAACTATGACAATTCTGAAATGTTTGGGATAAAACATATGACTGCACCGGCATAAACCAATCACTAGCTGAATGGGAGTAAGAGACTGATTTTCCACAACTGAGCCCACCACACACATTAATCCAATGGTCTGCTTTCTGTTAATCAATGATTGAGCTCAGAGGGGGATGAACCAAAGCCTCTCCCTTTGAAGGATGAAACATTCCTCTAAAGCCAAAAATACTAACTGGAATATGTCTCAAAACTGTGCAACTCAGTTGGTTTAATATACTATGAAAAGCATGGTGGTTAACATGAGCAATTTCTCTCTCCATTCCAACATGCTGCCCCCAAAACACAACCAGGACTGTTGGAAATGTCTTGGAGAAGAGGAATTAGTGCCGGAGTGGTGGCAATGCAAAATGATCGAGTAGGACAAGGGGAGTCACATACCAGTCGATGCCCCTGTGGTAGTTGTGGCCATTGAAGAACTGGATCTCCTCAAAGGTCTCCTTGCTGGGGTAGTTACTGGTCAGATCAGGATGCATCCCCAGGAACAGATACAGGGCTGTGGTGCCTGCACAGAGACCAGGACTTTTCATGAGTATTGCTGATACAAATATCCAATATAGATCCTATTAGGCAATGTATATATGTTAGATATTAGACATAGTGCCTTCAGAAAGTATTCACACCCCTTCACTTTTTGCTAATTTTGTTGTGTTACAAAGTGGGATTAAAATGGATTTAATTATCATTTTTGGTTCAACGATCTACACAAAATATTCTATAATGTCATAGTGGAAGAACAATTCTTACATGTATTAAAAATGAATGAAAAATAAAACACTAATATACCTTGATTAGATAACTACTCACCCCCCTGAGACAATACATGTTAGAAACACCTTGGCAGCAATTACAGCTGTGAATCTTTCTCTATAAGAGCTTTCCACACCTGGATTGTACAATATTTGCCCATTATTCTTTAACAAATTATTTAAGCTCTGTCAAGTTGGTTGTTGATCATTGCTAGAAAGCCATTTTCAAGTCTTGCCACAGATTTAAGCCGATTTAAGTTAAAACTGTAACTAGGCCACTCAGGAACATTCAATGTCGTCTTGGTAAGCAACTCCAGCATAGATTTGGCCTTGTGTTTTAGGTTATTGTCCTGCTGAAAGGTGAATTAATCTACCAGTGTCTGTTGGAAAGAAGACTGAACCAGGTTTTCCTCTAGGATTTTGCCTGTGCTTAGCTGTATTTTCAGTTTATTTTTATCCCAGAAAATTCCCTAGTCCTTGCCGATAACAAGTATACCCACAAAATGATGTAGCCACCAACATGCTTGAACATATGAAGAGTGGTACTCAGTGATGTGCTTTGTTGGATTTGCCCCAAACATAACCCTTTGTATCCAGGACAAAAAGTTAATTTCTTTGCCACATTTCTAACTTTAGTGCCTTGTTGCAAACAGGATGCATGTTTTAGAATATTTTTATTCTGTACAGCCTTCCTTCTTTCCACTCTGTCATTTAAGTTAGTATTGTGGCGTAACTACAATGTTGTTGATCCATCCTCAGTTAAAGTCACCTTTGGCCTCATGGTGAAATCCCAGAGCGGTTTCCTTCCTCTCCGGCAATCGAGTTAGTAGTAGTGACTGTGTGTATTGATACACCATCCAAAGCCTAATTAATAACTATGCTCAAAGGGATATTCAGCGTCTGTTATTATAATAATTTTTACATCTACCAATCGGTGCCCTTCTTTGCGAGGCATTGAAAAAACCTCCCTAGTCTTTGTTGTTGAATCTGTGCTTGAAATTCACTACTCGATTGAGGGACCTTACAGATACTTTTATGTGTGGGGTAGAGAGATGGGGTAGTCATTCAAAATTCATGTTAACCACTATTATTGAACACATAATGGGTCAATACAATTTATTATGTGATTTGTTAAGCATATTTTTTTACTCCTGAACTTATTTAGGCTTGCCATAAAGGGGTTGAATACTTACTGACTCAAGAGGATTTCAGCTTTTCATTTTTTATTAATTTCCAAAAGGTTCTACAAACAAAATTCCACTTTGACATTATGGGGTATTGTGCGTAGATCAGTGACACAAAATCTCAATTTAATTAATTTTTAAATTCAGGCTGTAACACAACGTGGAAAAAATCAAGGGGTGTGAATACTTTCTGAAGACACTGTAAATGCTAACCTTGCATATATTTCTGGTTCTTTACCACAGCTATTTACTACCCCTCTGAAATGTGCTAAAGCTTTAAATAGCAACAGGTCTACCTAGAGGCTGAGAGCCCAAAACACTCAACTAAGTAAGATATAAAGTGTCAGGTAAAGAGGAGTGGTGAATGTAAAGTTGACAGACAAGATGGCTGACCAAACTATTTGTGAGTGCTGGTGCAGTTTGGTAATTACAATGGTGAAATGTGTAAATTTACTCTCAGACCCAACCCCCTAATCCGTTTTGATTGAAAAGATTAACATGGCCATTTTACAGCAATCTCAGAAGGAGGGCTATCGCTCCCTTAAGACATCTTTAAGAAGTTTAATTAGGCTACTCAGTAAACCTGAATTTCCCATTTAGTGGGGAGCAGTCAAGGTTACAATAAAACCCAATGACTGACTGCTTGCCTGCCTCTGCAGTGATCCTATAAATTAAATAAAGTGTGTGACACTCCGTAAATGACTGCCCATCTGCCATTATCCATCGCTTCTCTCCAGGCTGTCAATAAACAAAGGTTCAAGGCTGCTCCATGCCAGGCAGAGAAGCGCTTGTCTTTCTGGTGCAGTGGATCTAGTACTGTGAGCCACACACTGGTGGTGTGTAGAGTACACTAACTGAGACATACAGTACAGTATCTATAACCTCCTAGCTGCACCTGGAACGAGCTCAGGTCATGTCTCTGGATGTACAGGTAACTGCCAAAATAAAGGAAACACTTGAGTAAATGGGGGATAGCGTTTTCCACCACCATCAACAAAACACCAAGGGATGGGATTTCTCGTGGAAGAATGGTGTCGCCTCCCTCCAATAGAGTTCCAGACACTTGTAGAACCGAGGTACATTGAAGCTGTTCTGGCAGCTAGTGGTGGCCCAACGCCTTATTAAAACACTTTATGTTGGTGTTTCCCTTATTTTGACAGTTACCTACATTTACATTTACATTTTAGTCATTTAGCAGACGCTCTTATCCAGAGCGACTTACAGTTAGTTAATTTTTTAAAATATATTTTTTAATTTTTTTCATACTGGTCCCCCTTGGGAATCGAACCCACAACCCTGGCGTTGCAAACGCCATGCTCTACCAACTGAGCTACATCCCTGCCGGCCATTCCCTCCCCTACCCTGGACGACGCTGGGCCAATTGTGCGCCGCCCCATGGGTCTCCCGGTCGCGGCCGGCTACGACAGAGCCTGGATTCGAACCAGGATCTCTAGTGGCACAGCTAGCACTGCGATGCAGTGCCTTAGACCACTCTATGACAGGTTAAACGACTGTCATAGAGTGGAAATGCACATTTAGGTTCCAGCTTCGAGGATACATATTCACAAATTGGGAATATGTTGATAAAGTTGAAAAACATCAACAAATAGGGTACTGACAGCTGTCAGTGTAGCTAGCTAGCATGCTTACATTATCTAGCTAGATAGCTAGCCATCTTGCTAACCTTATCTGGAGCATGTAGTGACGGAAAACCTTAGTGGTCAAAACCATTCATCTTGGGGTGACGGGGGGAGTGGGTTTGCAAAATGCCAACCTATCACGCAATTATACCATTTATAAAATGGTCAGATATATATTTATAATACAGACTAGCTCAAAAATAAGTGAAAATGTAAAAAAGATCCCAATGGATTTTGATAATTTTTATCGTATAAAAAGTGGAGGTGAGAAAACATAAGTTTGCACCCCTTATTTATATGTGCTCAGGCGGCCAATAACTTTGGAATAACTCGGCAGCTGTTTATAATTAATAAACAATGCAATGCTGGTAACAATAAAATAAAACCCAGCCCTGAAACAAAACGTTGGCTGAAAATAATTTGTATGTCATATCATAGGAAAAGACACCGTATTCACACGGATTTGGACGAAGTGGGCCCATCAGATGTCACTTCATGCCCAAATACATCATACTTTGACTAAAACAATGACTTATTGACTTAAATCGTTGTGCAACATCATGGGTAAGCTCTAGCCATCGTCTTGCAGCTCAAAAAAGTGGATTTCTACTGGTGTGTGGGTTTACAACTGATAATTGCTGCGGGTGTGGTTGTATCACTGAACTGAGGTAACCATGTTTATGATATATACAGTGGGGAAAAAAAGTATTTAGTCAGCCACCAATTGTGCAAGTTCTCCCACTTAAAAAGATGAGAGAGGCCTGTCATTTTCCTCATAGGTACACGTCAACTATGACAGACAAATTGAGAAAAAAAAATCCAGAAAATCACATTGTAGGATTTTTAATGAATTTATTTGCAAATTATGGTGGAAAATAAGTATTTGGTCACCTACAAACAAGCAAGATTTTTGGCTCTCACAGACCTGTAACTTCTTATTTAAGAGGCTCCTCTGTCCTCCACTCGTTACCTGTATTAATGGCACCTGTTTGAACTTGTTATCAGTATAAAAGACACCTGTCCACAACCTCAAACAGTCACACTCCAAACTCCACTATGGCCAAGACCAAAGAGCTGTCAAAGGACACCAGAAACAAAATTGTAGACCTGCACCAGGCTGGGAAGACTGAATCTGCAATAGGTAAGCAGCTTGGTTTGAAGAAATCAACTGTGAGAGCAATTATTAGGAAATGGAAGACATACAAGACCACTGATAATCTCCCTCGATCTGGGGCTCCACGCAAGATCTCACCCCGTGGGGTCAAAATGATCACAAGAACGGTGAGCAAAAATCCCAGAACCACACAGGGGGACCTAGTGAATGACCTGCAGAGAGCTGGGACCAAAGTAACAAAGCCTACCATCAGTAACACACTACGCCGCCAGGGACTCAAATCCTGCAGTGCAGACGTGTCCCCCTGCTTAAGCCAGTACATGTCCAGGCCCGTCTGAAGTTTGCTAGAGTGCATTTGGATGATCCAGAAGAGGATTGGGAGAATGTCATATGGTCAGATGAAACCAAAATAGAACTTTTTGGTAAAAACTCAACTCGTCGTGTTTGGAGGACAAAGAATGCTGAGTTGCATCCAAAGAACACCATACCTACTGTGAAGCATGGGGGTGGAAACATTATGCTTTGGGGCTGTTTTTCTGCAAAGGGACCAGGACGACTGATCCGTGTAAAGGAAAGAATGAATGGGGCCATGTATCGTGAGATTTTGAGTGAAAACCTCCTTCCATCAGCAAGGGCATTGAAGATGAAACGTGGCTGGGTCTTTCAGCATGACAATGATCCCAAACACACCGCCCGGGCAACGAAGGAAGCATTTCAAGGTCCTGGAGTGGCCTAGCCAGTCTCCAGATCTCAACCCCATAGAAAATCTTTGGAGGGAGTTGAAAGTCCGTGTTGCCCAGCGACATCCCCAAAACATCACTGCTCTAGAGGAGATCTGCATGGAGGAATGGGCCAAAATACCAACAACAGTGTGTGAAAACCTTGTGAAGACTTACAGAAATCGTTTGACCTGTGTCATTGCCAACAAAGGGTATATAACAAAGTATTGAGAAACTTTTGTTATTGACCAATTACTTATTTTCCACCATAATTTGCAAATAAATTCATTAAAAATCCTACAATGTGATTTTCTGTATTTTTTTTCTCATTTTGTCTGTCATAGTTGACGTGTACCTATGATGAAAATTACAGGCCTCTCTCATCTTTTTAAGTGGGAGAACTTGCACAATTGGTGACTGACTAAATACTTTTTTCCCCCACTGTATATACACACACTACTGGTCAAAAGTTTTAGAACACTTACTCATTCAAGGGTTTTTCTGTATTTTTACTATTTTCTACATTGTAGAATAATAGTGAAGACATCAAACTATGAAATAACACATATGGAATCATGTAGTAACCAAAAAAGTATTAAACAAATCGAAATATACGTTATATTTGAGATTCTTCAAATAGCCACTCTTTGCCTTGATGACAGCTTAGCACACTCTTGGCATTCTCTCAACCAGCTTCACCTGGAATGCTTTTCCAACAGTCCTGAAGGAGTTCCCACATATGCTGAGCACTTGTTGGCTGCTTTTCCTACACTCTGCCGTCCGACTCATCCCAAACCATCTCAATTGGGTTGAGGTCGGGGGATTGTGGAGGCCGGTCATCTGATGCAGCACTCTATCACTCTCCTTATTGGTAAAATAGCCCTTACACAGCCTGGAGGTGAGTTGGGTCATTGTCCTGTTGAAAACAAATAATAGTCCCACTAAGCCCAAACCAGATGGGATGGCGTATCGCTGCAGAATGCTGTGGTAGCCATGCTGGTTAAGTGTGCCTTGAATTCTAAATAAATCACAGACAGTGTCATCAGCAAAGCACCCCCACACCATAACCCCTCCTCCGCCATGCTTTACGGTGGGAAATACACATGCGGAAATCATCCGTTCACCCACACCGCGTCTCACAAAGACACGGCGGTTGGAACCAAAAATCTCCAATTTGGACTCCAGACCAAAGGACACATTTCCACCGGTCTAATGTCCATTGCTCGTGTTTCTTGGCCCGAGCAAGTCTCTAATTCTTATTGGTGTCCTTTAGTAGTGGTTTCGTTGCAGCAATTCGACCATGAAGGACGGATTCACACAGTGTCCTCTGAACAGTTGATGTTGAGATGTGTCTGTTACTTGAACTCTGTGAAGCATTTATTTGGGCTGCAATTTCTGAGGCTGGTAACTCTAATGAACTTATCCTCTGCAGCAGAGGTAACTCTGGGTCTTCCATTCCTGTGGCGGTCCTCATGAGAGCCAGTTTCATCATAGAGCTTGATGGTTTTTGCGACTGCACTTGAAGAAACTTTAGTTCTTGAGATTTTCCGTATTGACTGACCTTCATGTCTTAAAGTAATGATGGACTGTCGTTTCTCTTTGCTTATTTGAGCTTTTTCTTGCCATAATATGGACTTGGTATATATGGACAACCTTCTGTATACCGCCTCTACCTTGTCACAACACAACTGATTGGCTCAAACGCATTAAGAAGGAAAGAAATTCCACAAATTAACTTTTAAGAAGGCAAACCTGTTAATTGAAATGCATTCCAGGTGACTACCTCATGAAGCTGGTTGAGAGAATGCCAAGAGTGTGCAAAGCTTTCACCAAGGCAAAGGGTGGCTATTTGAAGAATCTCAAATATAAAATAGATTTTGATTTGTTTAACACTTTTTTGGTTACTACATGATTCCATATGTGTTATTTCATAGTTCTGATGTCTTCACTATTATTCTACAATGTAGAAAATAGTAAAAATTAAGAAAAACCCTTGAATGAGTAGGTGTTCTAAAACTTTTGACCGGTAGTGTATGTATGTATGTATGTATGTATGTATAATATTATTTTTGTTGTTGTTGTATTTTACCCCCTTTTTCTCCCCAATTTCGCAATATCCAATTGCAATCCAATTATGATCTTGTCCCTAACCCGGACGACGCTGGGCCAATTGTGCGCCGCCCTATGTGACAGAACCTGGGATGTGACAGAACCTGGGATCGAACCCGGGTCTGTAGTGACGCCTCAAGCACTGCGATGCAGTGCCTTAGACCGATGCGCCACTCGGGAGGCCTCATGAGATAATGTTTTTGTACAATATGATATCCGTTTACTGCTCACCTGTCTTCTGTGGTCCAATGATGAGCAGCTTCGGGAATCGGTCGCATGTCTTCTCTTTGGACCAAATGTCTTTGTGCCTTTTGTCCTCACAGGGGTCCTGTAGGGACAGAGTGGGCAGAGTTAGTTCACCTGGAAGTTCAGTTCAGTAAACGGGAAGGTGCCTCAGGATAAGTTGCCATGGATATGACTTGTTCTCACACACACACACACACACACACAGACACACAGACTCTTCAGGCTCCAGTATCATATCTAGCGGCAGTCTGTTTGTAATTAAAGTCTACCACTGACTTGGCCAGGGGACTTCAGAGTTACGGTGTTAAAGCCAGCCAAGAAAGCAGTGAGACCTGTGGGGGGAGTGTACAGACATGCGGCACAATGGTTACAGGCAACTGTATCCACCCTGTGTGACCAACAATGCCAAGCGGAGGATGGGTACTTTTAATTCAGCTCAAATTAACCAAACCAGTCTAGTCCAACAGAGGTTTGGGGGAGCAGACTCAAACATTTGGTTACTGATTCACCCCTTGATCAATTATGCTTCTACAAGAAAGGCCTAGGAAAAGAACCCGTAATCAGTATCAGGCAGGCTGCCTCTTCATTGTTTTTCCTGAGTGTGGAGTAGCCTTCAGTGTATCTGTGTGGCAGATAGTGCAGAGCAGCCCTGCAAGGCGAGCCTCAGGGTCAATCTGCATGTCAAGCTGATGCCAACTGCCTTAAATCTATCTGTCTCTTTCCCTTCAGTCCCCACTGCCATCTGCATGATGGGTAATGAGGCGACCAGGATATCACATTAATCCCAAGACATTTAACACAGTGCTCTGATGAAGAAACCTTTGGACCCAGGCAGGCACAAGTTTGCTCCAAACTTCAAAGGGAGCCGGCCGGCACACATTAACCTATCCACTTAGTGAGAACTCAATATTGACAGTCAGTGTGAGGAACTGCCAAGATGGCACTTGGACCTCTTAGGGAAGGAAACCTGTCTTTTTTCTGCGTTGATGGGAAACAGTGTCAAAGAGTGGTACTGTGGAAGCAGGAGTACAACAAAACCACAGTTCAAAGAGCCAGCCTCTCCTAGCTGTACCTAACAAAATAAGATTTGCACTGTATGAAGCAATGGAGACTGAGTCAAAAGGCAACATCTCTAGCCTTCTCTAAAATGACAGCCTGGTGTATGATAGTCCCGAGTTCCAAACACCCAGTGACCCACAGCTCTCATGGCCTCTCACACACACAAAACACACACACCTGCCAGATGGGGTCCCTCTCCTCGGGGAAGATCTGGAAGTAGCGCTGAGCCAGCTGCACAGGCGCCAGGGTCTGCAGCCGCAGGTTGGTCCACGTCTGGAGGAACTTCACCAGGTTCTTAAAGGTGGACAGACCCAGACGGTCGTTCCCGTAGTTGGACAGGTGGGTCATAAAGATGCTGATCTGTGAGGAAGGAATGAAAAACACAGAACAACATTCAATGCACTGTCTGCAATGTCAATGTCATTTCCAACCACCGTTGCACAAAATGCAAAAAAAAAAAAAACCATAACAAATAAGGCTTTTCAAAGCAACCATAGAGAGATGAGCATTGGTCTCCTGATGCTAGTTATGGAGGTGTGTCTGGTCTCACCGGGTTGAGGAGCACCGTGAGGAAGAGCTCCCCTCCGTTGATGAGTTTGTCCAGCTCCTTGGGTCCTCCAGGATACTCGTTGTAGAAGATGGTGTGAGTGAAAAGGCCACACGTCTGCCTGGGCAGCACCTACAGTACATAAAACACACAATCAATATTACATATCAACACATCTGCACAGTGAGTGTACTAATATAACCAGACCCTGATACCCAGTGAATAACTAATCAAATACACAAATGTCCAAACATGGCCAATCGGTCATAAATGCTTGAGGACGCAGCTCAATTTAGTCTGTCTTCGAACCCATTTCTCGATCCTAACACAAAGCCTCTGTCCTAACATTGTTCAAACACAACAGAACAACACGCAATCGGTTGGCATCCGAGCACACAATCACAGGAGCAGAACGACCTGAAAAAGCATCGCCGAGGTCTGTTCAGCCGAAGTGCTGTACCCGGTGTATCAATCTGGCCCTGTGATAATAGCTAGCTGGGGCTGTGGGTAAAAATAGCAGCGAAAGCAGCACTGAGATGCTTAGGGAGGGAAAGGAAGGGAAGGCTGGATGTACAGACTGAAGCTCCCAGGCTTATCTCTCTCTCTGATTTTTAAAAACACAGAGTGGCTAACGGGAGTCACAGACTGCTGATTAAGGGTAAAGAGGGAGTGGAAGAAAGAAGAGGAGGAGGGAGAGGAAAAAAAAAAATCAATGTTTACACCTCAGAGAGTCTCTGCCAAGTACCCAGTGAATATTTCACAGGGATGTGTTGAGGTCGGAATTAACATCTCGGTGACATCGTCGCACTCCTCCACCAGACAATAAATAAATAAATAAATAACTGAAAAGTGCTGCGTCTAGAAAAGGGTCATTCTAACAAGGATCAGCATTATGGTTAAAATCCACAACACAATGTGTATACAGAAAATACACATTTCTTTAAGCTCTAAAATGTATGAGACATTTGAGCATAAATATCGTACCCAGGCAAGCTGTTGTTTATGTCCATGCCAAGCATATAGACTTAAAATGAGACTTCGTAGAGATACTGTAAATAAATTGGCATTGACAGCGAGATTAACATGTCTAAAAATGACAACGTTTTCGTCACATCACCAGCCAGCAGTTGTCTTTGTCGATTTTGGCAGGGCTGTCATCGACGGTGAAATTTTCATGTTGAGAGAGCTAAACATAGCAATATCTATTATGATCATTCACACTACTGTCTGTCTGTCAGCTTGCTGTATTTCCGGGGAGGGGAGGGGTAAATACTGATAGAGAAGGGGAGTGAATAGACCACGCCACCCTCATGGCGTGGCAGCACGGCTGCTTCCCTTTCCTTTACTCCACTCAATGCTGTGTTACCAAGAGCTAAACCAAAATGTTCAAACACACAAAAAACTAAGCTTTGTCCGTTCAAAGGCACACACCTTACAATACCAAGCACTTACCAGATGCCGGAGCTTTTATCTATTAACATAACTGGGTGAACTCTAACCAGAGTAAATAAATCAAACAACCTCAATTGAATACTTCTAGTTAAATGATTGAGCACAAAACCAAGTCTTGAAAATATCAACTAACACATAATTTCAAGAACTGCTAGTTTATACATAGAACCTAGTGTGTGTGTGTGTGTGAGAGAGAGGATGGGGAAAGGGGGTGATTGGGCAGAGTCCTTACACTGATGCCACTGTGGTAGAAGCCTCGTCTGAAGCGGGCAGGTTTGAGGTGGGGGTACTCCTCCGTGCTGGTCACCTTGATGCCCCACACCTTCTTCCAGGCGTCGTACAGCTGGACGTGGACGGGGTACACCCCAGAGTGGTGGGGAGCTACCGCGTAGCCCATGTTGGTGGGGATGCCATGCTCCTGGGGGAGAGAACCAGTTCATTCAACACATTCTGATTTAATTCACCCGTGCTATTTTTCTACCTTTTTAATCAACGGTAATGGTGACATTCAAACAGAAATTCATTTTTTGAACAACCACCCATCTCCTAGTATCAGTACAACCCAACCCTCAGTGTGTAGAATGTGTAGTGTGGGTAAAGTCTGAAGAGGACCCCCCAACCTACCTGTGCAAACCTCCTGTTGAGCAGCATCTGTTCGGCCAACACTGATTGGTTGTGGAAAAGGTGGGGCTGCATGTGGCTCCACATGTGGGGGAACCACCAGAACTCCTTCCCATAGGACAGGAGTAGGTCATCACCCAGGTCCTCCTCATCCGTGCCTGGAGCATAGAGACAGAGGGAGACTGGGAGTTTAGTCTAGTCTACACATATACAGGCATAGGTGTGTGGTGGTGTTGAAAACCAAGCTATATGCGCTGTGAAAATCTGAACCAAGTTCATTCATTAAGCACAAAAATGTGCATAGAAATTAGCATTCAAATGTATTTGACATTTGATTTATGCATTTTCTTGGTGATGTACTTGATGATCAAGACTATGCTCTGGAACATGCAGGACTGGGATTGTCTGTCATGAGACATTGTATTATAAGCTCTGCCCTAGGTTCGCCTACACAGTCATACAGTGGGTGACCAAACTGCTTGTCCACTCACCAGTATGGAAGAACTTTCCAGAGAACCCCAGGTTGAACGTGAAGTTGGGGACTAAGGTTCGGAGGTCATTCTGGGTCTCCAGTAGGGCCTGGACAGAGGGGACAGGGACAACTGTTAGGAGTCATTCACATGCATTACATTTTTTAAAATAAATAAATACAATACTAAGTATTCAGACCCCTTGACTTTTTCCACATTTTGTTACGTTACAGCCTTATTCTAAAATGAATTACATTATTTTTCCTCATCAACCTACACACAATACCCCATCATGACAAAACGAACAGGTTTTTAGGAATGTTGGCAGGGAGATGACCAAGAACCTGATGGTCACTGATAGCGCTCCAGAGTTCCTCTGTGGAGATGTGAGAACCTTCCAGAAGGACAACCATCTCTGCAGCACTCCAACAATCAGGCCTTAATGGTAGAGTGGCCAGACAGAAGCCACTCCTCAGTAAAAGGCACGACAGCCCGCTTGGAGTTTGCCAAAAGGCACCTTAAGACTCTCAGACCATGAGAAACAAGATTCTCTGGTTTGATGAAACCAAGATTGAACTCTTTGGCCTGAATCCCAAGCATCACGTCTGGAGGAAACCTGGCACCATCCCTACGGTGAAGCATGGTGGTGGCAGCATCATGCTGTGGGGATGTTTTTCAGCGGCAGGGACTGGGAGACTAGTCAGGATCGAGGGAAAGATGAACGAGATCCTTGATGAAAACCTGCTTCAGAGTGCTCAGGACCTCAGACTGGGCCGGTTCACCTTCCAACAGGACAACGACCCTAAGCACACAGCCAAGACAACGCAGGAGTGGCTTCGGGACAAGTCTCTGAATGTCCTTGAGTGGCCCAGCCAGAGCCTGGACTTAAACCCGATCGAACATCTCTGGAGAGACCTGAAAATAGCTGTGCAGCGACGCTCCCCATCCAACCTGACAGAGCTTGAGAGGATCTGCAGAGAAAAATGGGAGACACTACCCAAATACAAGTGTGCCAAGCTTGTAGTGTCATACCCACGAAGACTCGAGGCTGAGTAAAGGGTCTGAATACTTATGTAAATGTAATATTTCCGTTTTTTTTTTAAGAAACAAAAATGGTATCTAAAAACCTGTTTTTGCTTTGTCATTATGGGGTATTGTCTGTAGATTGATGAGGGAAAAAACGATTTAATCAATTTTAGAATAAGGCTGTAACGTAACAAAACGTGGAAAAAGTAAAGGGGTCTGAAAACTTTCAGAATGCACTGTATGTTAACTATTTTGTATGTTTTCTTGGAGAGAGCGAGATAGGGTGAAAGGTAGGAGAGAGAGTGCTGAAAGAGCCTTTGCTGGCAGCGGTACATTTTACTTGTGACATAGACTGCTAGACCACCCCAGGCCACCACATGTGCATTCTTTATCAGTTACTCAAAGAAGCACTGTAGTTAGCAGTTGTATTCAGTCCACACATTTCCCCCCGCACAGACAGACAAACGCACTCTCCCCCTCTCTCTAACAAACACACTGATGTGAGTTGTTTATTCTGCCTCCAGCAACTTAGCATCCATCTCATCATTCCTCTATGCTTCATTACCCTGTCCACATTCACTTTGCATCTGGGTCTATTTTTTCTTTTTTTAGGTTTAGTCCCTCTCTGCCACAGCTCAATCAAAGCCTGATTCACATTTAACACTGTGGTGGCAGACAAGACAACACCGCCTTGATTGTCTTTGCGTTTCATTGCCCCCTTCACTGAACAACTCAGAAGATGAGAAAAACAAGAAAAACAATGCAAAGCTGCGTCCGTATCAAATATTCATGCTGTAGGCCAGTCTGCGGACGCCCCTTGAACAGTGACTCATCACAAAGCAAAGCCGAAGACAGTGGTTGAGCTGAGCTTCACACCCTGCTGCTGCTGTGGCAGGGAGGGGGTGTTAAAAGGCCTGGACGGCTAGAAAGGCTGGATGGACAAAGGATGTCCCCTGGGTTGGAGGGAGAGAGACAAAGATGTGGACGAACGCTGGAGGGCGGTTCCTGACCTTTAGTTAGTAATAAGTGTTTGACTGAGGAGGAGGCTGTATGGGATTCCAGTCACACCGAGTCTTATTCTACTTTCAAAGAGGCATTGGATGGAAATACAAGAAAATATATTCTGTTCCACTCCGTTGCATTCTAATCCTTCCTCTCCCCTCTCCCCTCCACCCCTCTCTCTCTCTCTCTCTCTCTCTCTCAGGCTGTGAAGTAAGGCGCCAACAAAGATGGCGGCTTCGCGACTAGCTCTTCAGAAACTTTGCGGTATTTTGTTTTTTAATGTACTATTTATAAGCATTTCGCTACACCCCCAATAACATCTGCTAAACACGTGTATGTGACAAATAAAATTTGATTTGATATACAGTGACAGCGTGAGGGAGAGACTACCATGGCAGTCAGGCCAGCTGTGTCCCCCTGTCCTGTGTCCTCAAGACGGCCCCCCTGGGAAGAGACATGTAGGTGGTTGCACCTGTACCCCTCTGTCACTGTCACATCTTCCCAACTCTGGCATGGGCTCACTCACACATGGTAAAGTCACCTGTCTGTCTCCCTCCTCCAAGGTCAGCTCTGCCTCTGGCACGGACACCTGAATGACTCACTGCTTATTATAGTTTAGTGTTGTTTTTTTATTTATTTATTATAAATTCAGTTTAGCTTCAGTTGGTTTTCAGACCTGATTTGCTATTTTTTCATTTAGTTAAAGTTTTATAAAAATATGTATATTATGTTTTTATATTATTTAGTTTCAGTTTTAGTTTCAGGGTTCGGGACAGAAGGTATGCGTGGGAGGCTAGGAGCCATTTGGGTTGTATAGTTTTAGTGTTTTTTGGGACACCACTATGGGGCGGTAATACATAAAAGGATGGGGTCAGGTTTAAATTATAAAGTCAATATCAATGTGACTTGAATTTAAAAGGAATAGCGCCTAGACTGGTGCAAGGAATATGCTAGAAGGAAACTCTCTCGCCTATGTTTATACCAATCCAATGCTTTTTAACTTTAGTAGTACATGTAAGAAGAATCAAGAACCGTTACCTTTATCTGACAGAAAGTTCTCAAAGTAATCCTATTCGGGGCTTTGCTGTTATCGACCGACCAGTGGAGGTTTAGGGTTTGCTGTCGCTATTGCTTAAGCTCTGCCTCGCCCTTTGGCTAGGCCATCTACCTAGCGGATTTCTTCACTGTTAGCTAGCTTGTGATGCACAAGCAAGGTCTATTTCAAACCTCACCATCTCCAGGCAACATTTACCAACCAGATTCAGAGGCTTGAAAACCCCCCAAAAAGCTTGAAAACCCCATGAATGTTTTGCACACAGTTTAGAAAAAAACTAAAACTGAACATAATTCATGGTTTTTATTTTAGTTCGTTTTACAGTCAAAGATAATTTCAGTATAGTTAGTTTTTAAAACGAGTTTGTTAATTATTTTATTTCAGTTTACAATTTTTTTGTTTTTTTTGTTTTACTAGTTTCAGTCTTAGTTTACTATAATAACATTGGCACTGTCACACAGTAAATCTCTCTGGGAATATGTATGCACCAGCAATAGAATAGGGCAGATTGATATGCAACAGATAATGAGTGATTAGCAGAGTTGTGGACTCGAGTCATAAAACTTAAACTGGAGTCTGATTACTTGATAAAACATTTTTTTACTTGAGACTTGACTAGGAACCTCAAGACTCGGGACTGATGAGACTGATGACTTGAAGTTATCTGGCCAGGTTTAACAACGTTTCGTCACTCATTTTGTAGCACAGTCTCCTTGGATTAGGGTAATGTGGGGTAACAAGCCCCACCCCCCCCGAGAACAATGTCCAATTGCTGGCAAAAAAAAAGCAAAGTTTGGTAAACACGTGGTATGTGGATGATGGTCAGGCTTAGGCAAACAAACTAGGAAGGGAAATAAGTGGCTACACTTTAGTTATTTCATTTAAATGTTTTTAGAAAAGGGGCGTTTTCCCCAAGTATCGGGGTAACTGCGTCTTGAATGTTGACCAATGACCAGTCATCAGCATTGGCATGCAAAGGCAGGAGCACATTAGTGACCAGAAAGCACTTGTTTAATTTTCTCTGGTTTTTCCTGGCAAAAACAGAGTAGTCTATGCCTACCTATATTAATATTATCTATATAAAGTACCATTTAGCAATCTGCTACGGACGCATCTGTCCCACAATAATAGGTACCTGGTGATTTCATTGATCATTTTCATATTCCAGTTAGGCTTAGTTTGAGTGGGTTATAATTATATACCTCAGTGGTGGTACTGGCTTTGTCTAAAGACAGCTGTAACATCGCTCTACCTTCAATACTTATAGGATAAAGATGTAACTAGGGCTGTTACGGTGACCGTATTACCGCCACACCGGCGGTCACGAGTCATGACCGCAGTCAAATTCCACGTGACCGTTTAGTCATGGTAATTAGGCTTCTCCAAGCTCTGATGTTGCTGATGGTCTATATTTCTCTACTTTCCTAATATTAAGCACATTGCTTCGCTTTTCAACAGGAGTATAGCCTACCTGGCTGGCATGAAAATGAACCATGGGAAAAGCGTCCTCAGTTCGCTATTTAAGTGCATAGATGACTGGTCCATTTTAAATCAAAACTAAATTTCACACATACATTATTTAGTATATGTAAAGACAAGATTAAATTAAGAATAGTCTGATGGGTGACAATATTAGCCAATCACTGAATGACATAATATCCCTTGTGAATGATGCCCAGCATGTGTATTAAGGCAAGAAACAGTGCATGCCTTTTCTTTGCGACTTTTTCTAATCATAGTCACACACCTCATGTATCCTAGCCCATAGCCCTATATATTTTGATAAGGTTTGTATCACAACTAAAGTGGCCAAATAACTTATTATAATTAAGCACATTAATCCGCTTTACAACCAGTGTAGAGCCTAACTGGCATACAGAGGCGGCGCGTGAGTTTCAAGTTTGGGGAAGATCATTTTCACCATAGAAATGTACCTTTATAATAAAAAATGACATGCATAAATCGCATTTGCGGTCACTTTTGAGAATGGTGTTTTCCCACTAATGGATTGCACTTTGGAACATTCGCGCTTATAGCCTAATGCCGTGTGCGCATTGCTGCGCTTATAATGTGAAGAAACAGCCTAATAGTTTATCAACATTTTAAGCTAAACATTCTGATCTGTTGCATCAGCCCCACTGCTTTAAAAACATTTTTTGATGCAAGTGGTTGTATTAATTTGGGATGTATCGCATCCCACAACTGTCCCAGACTATGTTTGGAATATTTATTTATCACAATAGAATAGTTCAACTTTTGTACTATGGGGGATAGTAGATTGACATAGGCTAGTGCTTTTGCTGTTCGTTAGGCCTACTCATCTTGTTGGCTGACAAAAAGTAAAATGTGGACAGTTCTAACATCTAATGAATTCAATAAGGACGCGCGCAGTTGCGTTCCCGATGTGTCGATCTTCACTTGTAGCCTACTTCGGAGCTGAGATGCCTGTGAGAAGGACCTGATCACATGACGGGCATTGGCTAATAATACAGTGAGGGAAAAATGTATTTGATCCCCTGCTGATGTTGTATGTTTGCCCACTGACAAAGAGATGATCAGTCTATAATTTTAATGGTAGGTTTATTTGAACAGTGAGAGACAGAATAACAACAAAAAAATACAGAAAAACGCATGTCAAAAATGTTATGAATTGATTTGCATTTTAATAAGGGAAATAAGTATTTGACCCCTCTGCAAAAAATGACTTAGTACTTGGTGGCAAAACCCTTGTTGGTAATCACAGAGGTCAGATGTTTCTTGTAGTTGGCCACCAAGTTTGCACACATCTCAGGAGGGATTTTGTTCCACTCCTCTTTGCAGATCTTCTCCAAGTCAATAAGGTTTTGAGGCTGACGTTTGGCAACTCGAACCTTCAGCTCCCTCCACAGATTTTCTATGGGATTAAGGTCTGGAGACTGGCTAGGCCACTCCAGGACCTTAATGTGCTCCTTCTTGAGCCAGTCCTTTGTTGCCTTGGCCGTGTGTTTTGGGTTATTGTCATGCTGGAATACCCATCCAAGACCCATTTTCAATGCCCTGGCTGAGGGAAGGAGGTTCACACCCAAGATTTGACGGTACATGGCCCCGTCCATCGTCCCTTTGATGCGGTGAAGTTGTCCTGTCCCCTTAGCAGAAAAACACCCCCAAAGCATAATGTTTCCACCTCCATGTTTGACGGTGGGGATGGTGTTCTTGGGGTCATAGGCAGCATTCCTCCTCCTCAAAACACGGCGAGTTGAGTGGATGCCAAAGAGCTCGTTTTGGTCTCATCTGACCACAACACTTTCACCCAGTTCTCCTCTGAATCATTCAGATGTTCATTGGCAAACTTCAGACAGGCCTGTATATGTGCTTTCTTGAGCAGGGGGACCTTGCGGGCGCTGCAGGATTTCAGTCCTTCACGGCGTAGTGTGTTACCAATTGTTTTCTTGGTGACTATGGTCCCAGCTGCCTTGAGATCATTGACAAGATCCTCCCGTGTAGTTCTGGGCTGATTCCTCACCGTTCTCATGATCATTGCAACTCCACAAGGTGAGATCTTGCATGGAGCCCCAGGCCGAGGGAGATTGATAGGTCTTTTGTGTTTCTTCCATTTGCGAATAATCGCACCAACTGTTGTCACCTTCTCACCAAGCTGCTTGGCGATGGTCATGTAGCCCATTCCAGCCTTGTGTAGGTCTACAATCTTGTCCCTGACATCCTTGGAGAGCTCTTTGGTCTTGGCCATGGTGGAGAGTTTGGAATCTGATTGATTGATTGCTTCTGTGGACAGGTGTCTTTTATACAGGTAACAAGCTGAGATTAGGAGCACTCCCTTTAAGAGTGTGCTCCTAATCTCAGCTCGTTACCTGTATAAAAGACACCTGGGAGACAGAAATCTTTCTGATTGAGAGGTGGGTCAAATACTTATTTCCCTCATTAAAATGCAAATCAAATTTATAACATTTTTGACATGCGTTTTTCTGGATTTTTTTGTTGTTATTCTGTCTCTCACTGTTCAAATACATCTACCATTAAAATTATAGACTGATCATTTCTTTTTCAGTGGGCAAACGTACAACATCAGCAGGGGATCAAATACTTTTTTCCCCTCACTGTAATTGCGATATCTGAGAGAGCCATGTGAGTGAGAGGTTCTTCAGGGCACGGCGATTGGCAGCCGGAAGAAGGGAATTATTATTATTATATTCAGCCCAAGGGCACAACGGCCGCAAAAGGCATGGATGTTTTTGGGGGCATTACAGCTACACAAGGGGGATGCCACCGGGAAATTTGAGGCATTTATCAAGTGCTTGTGAAATTGTGCAAGAAACAAAGCAGAGCTCATGTCTTTCATGCAACTTTTTTCCCTCATCAAGCTACACACAACACCCCATAATGACAAAGCAAAAATAGGTTTTTAGAAATTGTTGCAAATGTATTAAAAATAAAAACAGAAATATCACATTTACATAAGTATTCACACCCTTTACACCTTTGGCAGCGATTACAGCCTTGAGTCTTCTTGGGTATGACGCTACAAGCTTGGCACACCTGTATTTGTAGAGTTTCTCCCATTCTTCTCTGCAGATCCTCTCAAGCTCTGTCAGGTTGAATGGGGAGCATTGCTGCACAGCTATTTTCAGGTCTCTCCAGAGATGTTAAATCGGGTTCAAGTCCAGGCTCAGGCTGGGCCACTCAAGGACATTCAGAGACTTGTCCCGAAGCCACTCCTGCGTTGTTTTGGCTGTGTGCTTAGGGTCGTTGTCCTGTTGGAAGGTGAACCTTCGCCCCAGTCTGAGGTCCTAAGCGCTCTGGGTCAAGGATCTCTCTGTACTTTGCTCTGTTCATCTTTGCCTCGATCTGGACTAGTCTCCCAGTCCCTGCCGCTGAAAAACATTCCCACAGCATGATGCTGCCACCACCATGCTTCACCATAGGGATGGTGCCAGGTTTTCCTCCAGACGTGACGGTTGGCATTCAGGCCAAATAGTTCAATCTTGGTTTCATCAGACCAGAGAATCTGGTTTCTCATGGTCTGAGATTCTTTAGGTGCCTTTTGGCAACTCCAAGCGGGCTGTCATGTGCCTTTTACTGAGGAGTGGCTTCCGTCTTGTCACTCTACCATAAGGCCTGATTGGTAGAGTGCTGCAGAGATGGTTGTCCTTCTGGAAGGTTCTCCCATCTCCACAGAGGAACTCTAGAGCGCTGTCAGAGTGACCATCAGGTTGTTGGTCACCTCCCTGACCAAGGCCCTTCTCCCCCGATTGCTTAATTTGGCCGGGCGGCCAACTCTAGGAAGAGTCTTGGTGGTTCAAAACTTCTTCCATTTAAGAATGATGGAGGCCACTGTGTTCTTGGGGACCTTCAATCCTGCAGAAATCTTTTGGTACCCTTCCCCAGATCTGTGCCTCGACACAATCCTGTCTCGGAGCTATACGGACAATTGCGTCGACCTCATGGCTTGGTTTTTGCGCTTACATGCACTGTCAACAGTGGGACATTATATAGACAGGTGTGTGCCTTTCCAAATCATGTCCAATCAATTGAATTTACAAACATTTCTAAAAACCTGTTTTCACTTTGTCATTATGGGGTATTGTGTGTAGATTGCTGAGGATTTTTTTGTATTGAATCCATTTTAGAATAAGGCTGTAACGTAACAAAATGTGGAAAAAGTCAAGGGGTCCAAATACTTTCCGAAGGCAGTGTACATTTGCGCAGCGATTGTGCGCGCGTTTGCCCTGTGCCCGATTGCATGTGCACGCGCATGAGTCGCAAGCTTTGAACCACTCCTTTTTGGGGGTCGAGGGTCAAAAAGTTTGAAAACCACTGAGCTATCGAACAGATTGCTGATTTGCTGTACAGCTATAGGATCGGGTGCAGCGCAAAAGACAAATTGTAGGGAGAGAGGATTGCCACAAATGAACATGCAGCTCCTCAAAAATGTGTCCCCTGTAGCTCAGTTGGTAGAGCATGGCGCTTGCAACGCCAGGGTTGTGGGTTCGTTTCCCCACGGGGGGCCAGTATGAAAATGTATGCTAAATGACTAAAATGTAAAATGTGATCAAGAATATGAACCATTTACTTACCAGCAATGGGGCATCAAGTAACAATTACTAGCATAGACCTACTGGTCTTTTGGTATGTCAAAATTGCTTGAAATTGATAATTTACGTATGAAGCTTGCAATTAGAATTTGTTGAAATGAATTATTATATAATCAAAATGTGTTGTAGACCAAATAATGAATGCAAGCATAATTTGTTAGTTCAACAAGTCATTGCCTGTATAGATTTGCTCTTAGAATGCACGACTTGGACTTGACTTGAGTCTCGACCCGTTCTACTTGGGACTCGACTTGAGACTTGTACCTTGTGACTTGAGACTTGCTTGTGACTCGGCCCCACCTCTGGTGATTAGCCTACTCACTGAACTAAATACCACGCACAGAAACATACCAACACAAGTAAACCCACTTCATAAACAAAATCCCCTTACAAAGACCAATAAACTGCGGATGCCTACCTTGACGTCGGAGACCTTCATGCGGGTGCCCTCCTTGCCCACGAAGATGTCGTCGATGTCCACCAGCAGGTAGCGATCTAGAGCCAGAGACAGCCTCTTGCCCGTCAGGAAGGCTACAGCGTCCACAAACACCAGCTTGTGCAGCCAGAAGTTGAGGTTGTTGCCGAAGAGCACCCGCTGGATGCCGTCGTGAAGCCCCAGGTCCTGGACCACAGAGGCATGGAGGGGGGGGCCGCCTACCCCCACCCCCGCCCCTGATGGGCCCAGGTCAGGCACCCGGGTCCTGGCTAGGAGAACAGGCTCGTAGGTGGAGTGGTTGGACTGGAAGACGGTCCAGTCGTCCCCGGGTAGGGGGCCTCGCTCAACCTCCCGGGCCTTAGTGATGAGGAGCAGGGGGGACTTGGGATTGACACTGCAGTCCCTCAGGCCCAGGTTGGAATGGAGGAAGAGAGGGAAGCCCTTCAACTGGGCACTGAGCAGGCTGTTCTCATTGGCCTGGGAGAGAGGAGAGATGGAGCCAGGTCACGTCAGCTGCATTTCAGTTTACAGTTAATTTCCTCCACAATTCTGTGGCCTCAAAATTCTCTTCCAATGCTGAAAACATTTGCACACTTTATCCTTTAAATTATTACATAACTGGCAATATGTTAATTAACTAACTCTCCTACACACAATATAAACTCTGATTCCCAGATTCTTTACCAAAGAGTTAGGGGCTCTGGCTATGCGTGGGTCGTGTGTAAATCCCTGTGTTTGTGTGCATTTGTGCAGGGGCGAAATAAATACGCAGGTGAACCCTCTGCCCCTTATTTGTTCATTTACATTCTGAGCAGGAGCCCCATAACTGTTGTATCGATTGGTGATAAACAGCATTTGGCAATTCGACACAATCACAGTCACAGCCATAGACAGTCTGAGCCTGGCAGACTCCCATCCAAACCAAACTAGCAAATCATAATTCAGTGGCTTAGCAAATGCTGCTCTACGCTCAGAGCCACTGGCAATATGTGACTTTGGAAAATATGATTTGCTATCCATCTATCCGGCTGGATATCACCTATTAGGCCTAGCCTTCAGTGCGTGCCAGTGGTGGAAAACGTAATAAATTGTCATACTTGAGTAAAGTAAAGTACAGATACCCAAAAAGACGACTTAAGTAGTATTTTTTGTTAAGTACTTTACACCACTGGTCATGGCAACTAGCCCAGGGATACTACTGGGTTGATTGGCCAAACGCCCACAGCAAGAAAATGGGGCAGTTCTTAATATAGCCTAGCCCTGGGTGAATTATGAGGAGACTGACTAGTGCTAGTTCAGGAGGGGAGGATTTATTCCAATTACACAGCAACAACATGGATATGGGATTAAGCTCAAGGACTAATGGGAGGACGAGAGGGGCTTAAAGCAGCCTCTATCCCTGCCTGGGTGTAATTAAAAGTGAGGGTGCTGGTTAGCCATGGCCCTGGCTGGCCTCTCAGGTTGTGATAACCCTGCTATAGCACTTTGACTTCCCATGTACGTCAGCTCTGGGACCAGGCTGGGCGAGTCCACTTAGCCCCAGTGTTGTGGTTCTAACAGGAGGGGGTTTACTTCAGACCCCACCAAGGGGAATTAGGCAGACCAAGTTACTTTAGCAGCCAAGCAGCTGAGTGAGTCCCACTCCCACCCCTGGTGAATTTGCTGAGCCGTTCCAGCAGGGCCATTATCAGCTAAGCTACGGGCCTACGGTCGATGAGCCATGACAGAACCACCGTACTAGAGGAACGGCAGGGTAGCAGCCAACCACAGGCACAGACTCTGTTGATAGACCTGTGTGTGTGTGTGTGTACTGTATTATACTGTACACGCTAAACACAGAGCTAGACTTCCAGGTTAGACGACACCCTCAAGGCACGCCTTTTACACAGTCGGGAGTCATTTAAAATTAACGAGCGCACATTTCATTCAGACACTTTTATTGCAAACCACTGAATTCCCCCTCGGCTTCAGGGCGGACCGGAGAATTCTGCAGTCTTGCAGCTCACAGTCCACTTTCCTACTCATCCGACTATGTACTTAAACAAACCAGTCTAGGTGTCCACTTTCTCTGACCTGACCTCCAGCAATGCCTGCATATCCCAGACTATGAGAGGATGCTTAGTGCTTAGGAGGACCTCTTCTAGTCTACATTGTGATTGTAGCCTGATGCAGAAAGAGGGCCAGGGGCAAAGTCAGGGTGAGGAGACTCAAGAGTAGAGGCATGATGATAAGTCTGATTACTTATTCAGCATGATGAACCAGGGATCAGACTGAACACACAAAGGTCTGACACAATCAGCACAAGTGCTCCTACCCGGCAAATCAGTATAATGTCTATAGCGTTTCATAGGACGTATTGTTTGTTTATACGGCTGATTTAAGACACTTGAGATTGATAAGAAATGTACATCAATCTTACCAGCCTGCAATCAGTGACTGGCTCTTACCTTACAAATAACCCTATGACGCCCACTCCGTACTCCACACAGTACTAACCTTAAACACTAGAAAAGCCTGGCCTTGTTGGACCCCCCTTCGGGCCAATGACGCCTCTTTTGAACATCAACATTCTAACAGTCTAATAAATAGATTTCATATATGAGATCGCAAAAATAATCATTTGGTTGTGTTTATGAAGGTCTTAGGTATCAGAACAAGGGAAAAAAACAATTATTTAAAAGAACATAATAGCATTCATTGGTTTATGTTAAATGGTTTATGCTAAATGGCATATTATATTATTATATAATTTTTTTATGTTACTGTAATAACAAACAAAAAAACACTAAAACCACCGCAGTTCAAGAGTTAAATACGTCACAAAAAAATCCATTATAATTTACTTAAGAAACATTATGGAAATAAGAAAATGTACTTAAAAATAACATATCATATTTTAATAGTGCTGACTGATTAACCAACATTTTGGTTATTTTAAAACAACTAATTGACGACGACGGTTCAATTAATTGAATTCCATTTATTAATTTTCCTGTGAGTGCAATGCAGAGTTTCTCTAGAGATAAATCAGATCAAGCCCGAACTGTGCGATGTAGTAGGGAGTTGTAGTTTCCAACAGGCCAATACTCTACATAGTTTAGTGCAGAAAACGTGGTAATTAACTACAATGACCATAATGCCATGGTGCGCCTACTTGTCCGGTCTGAGACTGAGGGTAGACACAGAAGAACGTGTGATCGAGAGGTATAGAGAGCAGTTGCTTCGTGAGGTACAGTGCCTTCAGAAAGTATTCACACCCCTTCACTTTTCCCACATTCTTGTGCTACAAAGTGGGATTAACATTTATTTAATTGTAATTTGTTGTCAACGATCTAGACAAAATAATCTGCAATGTCAAAGTGGAAGAAGAATTATTACATTTGTAAAACATTTATGAAAAATAAAACACTAATATATCTTGATTACATAAGTATTCAACCCCCTGAGTCAACACATGTTAGAATCACCTTTGGCAGCAATTACAGCTGTGAGTCTTTCTGGGTAAGTCTATAAGAGCTTTCCACACCTGGATTGTACAAAATTTGGCCATTATTCTTTAACAAATTCCTCAAGCTCCGTCAAGTTGGTTGTTTATCATTGCTAGAAAGCCATTTTCAAGTCTTGCCAAAGATTTTCAAGCCGATTTAAGTTAAAACTGTAACTAGGCCACTCAATGTCGTCTTGGTAAGCAACTCCAGCATAGATTTGGCCTTGTGTTTTAGGTTATTGTCCTGCTGAAAGGTGAATTAATCTCCCAGTGTCTGTTGGAAAGAAGACTGAACCAGGTTTTCCTCTAGGATTTTGCCTGTGCTTAGCTGTATTTTCAGTTTCTTTTTATCCCAGAAAATTCCCTAGTCCTTGCCGATAACAAGTATACCCACAAAATGATGTAGCCACCAACATGCTTGAACATATGAAGAGTGGTACTCAGTGATGTGCTTTGTTGGATTTGCCCCAAACATAACGCTTTATATTCAGGACATAAAGTTAATTTTCTTTGCCACATTTTTAGCAGTTTTACTTTAGTGCCTTATTGAAAACAGGATGCATGTTTTCGAATATTTTGAGCATTCTGTACAGGCTTCCTTCATTTCACTCTGTCATTTAGGTTAGTATTGTGGACTAACTACAATGTTGTTGATCCATCCTCAGTTGTCTCCTATCACAACCATTAAAGGGGGGGGGGGGGGGGGGGGGGGGGGGGGGGTGACATGTCCTCTTAAAACTATAACACAAATTCTGTTTGTGATATTAAGATTCTAACAACGACAGTCTGTTATATACACTTATTTAGGAAAAGTAAAGGGGGGGGAGGGGCATTACTTAAATGGCAGAGTAATTAAAAAAGTACAATTTGTTGAGTCATTATGACACTCCGTACTCCACACAGTACTAACCTTAAAGAAGCCTATGATGCCCACTCCGTACTCCACACAGTACTAACCTTAAAGAAGCCTATGATGCCCACTCCGTACTCCACACAGTACTAACCTTAAAGAAGCCTATGATGCCCACTCCGTACTCCACACAGTACTAACCTTAAAGAAGCCTATGATGCCCACTCCGTACTCCACACAGTACTAACCTTAAAGAAGCATATGATGCCCACTCCGTACTCCACACAGTACTAACCTTAAAGAAGCCTATGATGCCCACTCCGTACTCCACACAGTACTAACCTTAAAGAAGCCTATGATGCCCACTCCGTACTCCACACAGTACTAACCTTAAAGAAGCCTATGATGCCCACTCCGTACTCCACACAGTACTAACCTTAAAGAAGCCTATGATGCCCACTCCGTACTCCACACAGTACTTGTCCAGTAGGTCTCTGTTCCAGGCGTCCAGGTTGACGTATTTCAGGATGTTCTCGTAGATGACCAGCGTGAAACGGCCTCGGTCCTTGTCTGTCAGAGTGGGCATGTCCCCCTTCCCCGGGGCGATCTCGGTCCGGTAGCGGAAGCGTCCAGACTCTAGGATGGCCACAATGTCCTGGCCCAGCTGGGAGTACAGGCTCTCAACAAACACCAGCACCACAGGGTCGGTGCGTGACGCGTCTGAGGGCCTGGCCGTGCGTGGAGGGAGCGCTCGAGAGGAGGTGGAGGGGGTGGCGGCCCGGGGGTCGTCCCAGTCGGCAGTGCCTTCCTCCGACCCTCCCACGCCCCCCGCAGCCGGCTCCAGCTCCCGCTTGACTCCGTAGAGGAAGTAGGCGGAGACCAGGACGCTGACCATGCAGAAGAGGAAGAGGAGCAGCAGGCTGGTCTGGAGAGTGAAGGAGTGAGAGTGACGGAAGAGCCGCCGGAGGCGACCGCATGACGGCAGCAACATCACCCTGCGCAGAATCAGTCACAGAGTGCACGGTGAAAGCAATCAGAATGCAACAGTAGCTTTAGAGGTGGCAGAGATTCTTCTTCCAAAATACAATAGGCTCCTCCACATCACATACTCTCATGTCACCATTGCAGAGGGGTAGTGGGAGCGACATGGGCAGGGGACACCATTAGGGTGGGTGGGTGGCTCTCTGGCAGAAGGGATGTGTGCCTTTACTCCATCCACCAGCCCAGGTCCCCTGCCCTCCCTCCCTACCCCCCCACCCCCCTACTGCTCACACTAAGTCTTTGGGCTTTCTGCAGCACTGACAGAGGGGCGGAGGTGGCGATGGGGTAAATATGGTTCTCTGGGGTCACACGGGTCGTCCAGCAAGGTGCTGCTCTTCCAGCAGTTCATCCCCAAAACATTCTCCTGGAGACCTGGAGGACAAAGACAAATATACACACAGTTTAGAATAGGACTGTTCAGTGTTCCAGTTCTCTCCTCCTTTTACTGAGCTCAACCTCCATCCCCCTCTGCATTTCTTGATTGCATCTTTGATTCATTGTTTTTAATGTTGTTTAATGACATCCATTTTGAATTAACTAAAAACAGTTTCTCTCTTAAGCTAGGCCACCCTGATCAAAATTAGTCGGAATTGTGCCTGTGTCTACCTGATTGTTCAAGGAAACCGTGTTCAACCTGCTCCCAGGGACATCAACAAGCTAACGTCAGATCCCTAGAAAGAGGCACATTCCAACACGTACAGTAAGGTGCTGGTTGCTGCACCGTCACTTTTTCATACCGTTTGACAAAGAGAAATGTATAATGGGTTTTTAAAAAGAGAGCAGAAGACCCAGTCAGCAAACCAATGTGCTGATGTCATGAGATCCCGACGTTCAGGCGTTCCTCTCAGAGAATACCAAGAGGATCCGGGAGAGGCCAATTCTGGATTACAGGGTAATGACAGCCGCTTGAATTGATTAGCAGGGGCTTTCACAAATGATCCTTGCTCTCTACCATTCACTTCAAAGGAACTGAATTGTCTTGTTTTTTTCATCTGTAAAGTTATAAAACTAAACTTTAAGAAGCGAGTGTGGTACAGGTAAAGAGAGGGGGGGTGGAGCGGAATGGGAATGACTTCTAGTTTCTAGAAGCCTGCATCACTGCCAGGATGGACTACCCTGTCCACAATGTCTCCATCATGACTCTGGAAACCAAGCACCCATCCAGGGTCACTTCATTGTATAATAGAAGTTGCTTGCATACTGTTCATGTACGGTCATTTGGGCAATTTCAGCTGGACATTTCTCTACGAGCCTAATCTGTTATGACATTTTGGTTTGAAATGAACCCCAAAAAAGGTAGAGAGAGTCTATAGTGAAGCTAACAAACACAGGTCTGCAAACAGAACTTCTATTTACCTACAGAAACAATTCAAAACACACAAAAACTGGTACATTTAACCTGCCCGGGCCTATTCTACAGGGTTCTCTGTTTAGAATGGCCCCACCTTGTTTTTATGTCTTCTACAAAGCACCAATTTTCAGAGGATAAATACACAAGCTTAAAACGAGAGCTTGTTCAATCGTTGGAAAGGGTGAGGCGACAGGGAGACAACAAGATCCAGCATGCCTGAGGTGGGATCCAGCCAGGCACCACAGATCCATTAATATATGGAAGGTGGGAGGGCGCATGGGAAAAGAGTGTAGAACAAAGAATCAAAGCCTTGCAGGGGTACGGGGATAAAAATGCATGAATACCAAAGCAAAGCAAAAGAGCACAAAAGTACATTTATAAAGATGAAAACACAGGCAAGGCCAGGGAGAGGATAGGAGAGGAGGGCCAGGGAGAAAGCCATTTCATCACTTCAAAAGGGTGCTGGGAGCAGAGCATATGAAAGACGCCCGAGTCGCCCTCCCTTTGGTGAGACGCAGCTGTTCGTGTTCTAGTCCTTTAGCGTGATTCAACATCCCCATCAGACATTTTAGAGGAGGGAAAGGGGGCTAGTTTTAGGAAGCAACAAAGCAATAGTAAATTCCAGAAGGGGTTGTAAGGATGACGTGCAGGCATTTGAGTCCTTTACCCCACTCCCCGCCCCCTCCCCAGTCCCCACACCAAGAGTCTAAGCTCCAACCACAATACCTGTCACTTGGCTCCCATTGTGGCCACGAGTGTGACGTGAAGGCCTGTCACCATGTCATCTGGGCCAGGATTAAAAGGGACGGGGGCTCTGCTATTCATCCACAAGTTATTTAATATGCACCAGGCAGCCACCACAACGGGAGAAGCCAACCCTTTTAAATGTGTAAAGGATTATGAAAACCCAGTATGATTCAGATGACACAATGCATTTGTAAAGTGAAACAGAGGGGATACACCCAGAAAACAGGGAGCGCCAAAGCTGCTCGGTCATAGACCGTAGGTTCTACTGTAGGACAGGGCTGGGCTACACAAGGTTTCACACGGTAGGTATAGCTAAAGCGCTTATAAAGTATACATTATTTTATTTTATTTTTTATTATCCTCTAAACTACTGCTACTAGTTTGATGGTTGCAACAATCAATTGTCCCATTAACAATCACCCATATGAATCAAATCAAATCCAATTCTATTGGTCACATACACATTTAGCAGATGTTATTACGGGTGTAGCGAAATGCTTGTGTTCCTAGCTCCAACAGCGCAGTAGTATCTAACAGTTAACAACAATACACACAAATGTAAAAGTAAAATAATGGAATTAAGAATAGAATACAGTGGCTTGCGAAAGTATTCACCCTTACAACCTGGAATTAAAATTGATTTTTGGGGGGTTTGTATCATTTGATTTACACAACATGCCTACCACTTTGAAGATGCAAAATATTTTTCTTTATTGTGAAACAAACAAGAAATAAGACAAAAACACAAAACTTGATCGTGCATAACTATTCACCCCCCCAAAGTCAATACTTTGTACAGCCACCTTTTGCAGCAATTACAGCTGCAAATCTCTTGGGGTATGTCTCTATAAGCTTGGCACATCTAGCCACTGGGATTAATGCCCATTCTTCAAGGCAAAACTGCTCCAGCTCCTTCAAGTTGGATGGGTTCCGCTGGTGTACAGCAATCTTTAAGTCATACCACAGATTCTCAATTGGATTGAGGTCTGGGCTTTGACTAGGCCATTCCAAGACATTTAAATGTTTCCCCTTAAACTACTCGAGTGCTGCTTTAGCAGTACACTTAGGGTCATTGTCCTGCTGGAAGGTGAACCTCAGTCCCAGTCTCAAATCGCTGGAAGACAAAACAAGATTCCCTCAAGAATTTCCCTGTATTTAGCGCCATCCATCATTCCTTCAATTTTGACCAGTTTCCCAGTCCCTGCCGATGAAAAACATCCCCACAGCTTGATGCTGCCACCACCATGCTTCACCGTGGGGATGGTGTTCTCTGGGTGATGAGAGGTGTTGGGTTTGCGCCAGACATAGCGTTTTCCTTGATGGCCAAAAAGCTCAATTTTAGTCTGACCAGAGTACCTTCTACTATATGTTTGGGGAGTCTCCCACATGCCTTTTGGTGAACACCAAACTTTTTTCCTTATTTTTTTCTTTAAATCAATGGCTTTTTTCTGGCCACTCTTCTGTAAAGCCCAGTTCTGTGGAGTGTACGGCTTAAAGTGGTCCTATGGACAGATACTCCAATCTCAACTGTGGAGCTTTGCAGCTCCTTCAGGGTTATCTTTGGTCTCTTTGTTGCCTCTCTGATTAATGCGCTCCTTTCCTGGTCCGTGAGTTTTGGTGGGCGGCCCTCTCTTGGCAGGTTTGTTGTGGTGCCATATTATTTCCATTTTTTATTAATGGATTTCATGGTGCTCCGTGGGATGTTCAAAGTTTCTGATATTTTTTTATAACCCAACCTTGATCTGTACCTCTCCACAACTTTGTCCTTGACCTGTTTGGAGAGCTCCTTGGTCTTCATGGTGCCACTTACTTGGTGGTGCCCCTTGCTTAGTGGTGTTGCAGACTATGGGGCCTTTCAGAACAGGTGTATATATATACTGAGATCATGTGACACTTAGATTGCACACAGGTGGACTTTATTTAACTAATTATGTGACTTCTGAAGGTAATTGGTTGCACCAGATCTTATTTAGGGGCTTCATAGCAAAGGGGGTGAATACATATGCACGCACCACTTTTCCGTTATTTATTTGTTAGAATTTTTCTAAAACAAGTTATACTTTTCATTTCACTTCACCAATTGACTATTTTGTGTATGTCGATGACATGAAATCCAAATAAAAATCCATTTAAATTACAGGTTGTAATGCAACAAAATAGGAAAAACGCCAAGGGGGATGAATACTTTTGCAAGGCACTGTATATACATATGAAATGAGTAAAGCAGTATGTAAACATTATTAAAGTGACCAGTGATTCCATGTCTATGTATATGGGGCAGCAGCATATAAAGGTGCAGGGTTGAGTAACCGGGTGGTAGCCGGCTAGTGATGGCTAATTAACAGTCTGATGGCCTTGAGATAGAAGCTGTTTTTCAGTCTCTCGGTCACAGCTTTGATGCACCTGTACTGACCTCGCCTTCTGGATGACAGCGGGGTGACCAGGCCGTGGCTCGAGTTTTTATGTCATTGATTATATTTTTTTGCCTTCCTGTGATATTGGATGCTGTAGGTGTCCTGGAGGGCAGGCAGTGTGCCCCCGTTGATGCGTTGGACAGACCGCACCACCCTCTGGAGAGCCCTGCGGTTGCGGGCGGTGCAGTTGCCGTACCAGGCAGTGATACAGCCCGACAGGATGCTCTCAATTGTGCATCTGTAAAAGTTTGTGATTAGGGGCCAAGCCGACTTTCTTCAGCCTCCTGAGGTTGAAGAGGCACTGTTGTGCCTTCTTCACCACACTGTCTGTGTGGGTGGACCATTTCAGATTGTCAGTGGTGTATACGCCGAGGAACTTGAAGCTTTCCACCTTCTCCACTGCGGTCCCGTCGATGTGGATAGAGGCGTGCTCCCTCTGCTGTTTCCTGAAGTCCACGATCAGCTCCTTCCTTTTGTTGAGGGAGAGGTTATTTTCCTGGCACCACTCCGCCAGGGCCCTCACCTCCTCCCTGTAGGCTGTTTCTTCATTGTTGGTAATCAGGCCTACTACTGTTGTGTCATCTGCAAACTTGATGATTGAGTTAGCAAACTTATTTCATTTCAAACTTATTACGTGACTTGGTAAGCACATTTTTACTCCTGTGCTTATTTAGGCTTGCTATAACAAAGGGGTTGAATACTTATTGACTCAAAGACATTTCAGCTTTACATTTTAAAATAAATTGTAAACATTTCTAAAAATATTATTCCACTTTGACATTATGGGGTATTGTGTGTAGGCCAGTGACAAAAAAGCTCAATTTAATCAATTGTACATTAAGGCTGTAACATAAACAAATGTGGAAAAAGTCAATGGGAGTGAATACCTTCTTAAGGCGCTATACGTGACATGAACCAGAGTGCCTGTGGCAAATAGCAGACAAAAGAACAGATAACTTTCACATCTCATCCAGATCAATACACCTTTTCCTTGACATCAATTGTCTCTTCGGAGAAACTGAATACCAGGCTGAGATGACGGCAGATATTCTTACAAGACAAGAGTGACAACGGCTTTCAGGAGTTTTCTTTTTGTTCCATGTACCAGACAAAAACGGGGAGGGGGGAAGGAAAAGTTTTATTCCTGGCATTTGAGTCTTGTGTATCTGAAGCGCAGAAAGTCGATCCTAACTTTGAGAAATGAAACCTTTAGTAATAATATAATGAGCAATATTAATGAGTAGAGACTGGCTGTCTGGTTCACCAACACACTGCTCATTCCACCATGCTCACAAGTTTCAAAAGCCTCCGCAATGACATACCAAATATGCTGAGATTGAGAAAAGTAAAGGAAGACGGGAAAAAAACAGGACTTTTAGAAATGTAGGAAAACGAGGACCTTGACATTTAAGAATAAGTCACCATCTCCCAAGTTCCTACAGTTTTTTCTTGCAGTCAGAGAGTTCTGAAAGACGTGTGAAAAAGAGCTGAGGGCCTCCGGGAACACACAGCCATTTTCTAGGAGCAGGATCAGTGCTAGCACACACCCTGCCCTCAGGGCATCACATACCTCATGCATCATGTGTTCCTAGAGAGGGACAGCAATATGCTCTTAGCTCTACCCTGACCCAGCAACACACAGTACAAAGGCCCTTACAACACATTAGCTACATGCTGAACAGATGTGGAGAGAACGATTAAGCATGACTCATATTCCACAAACTCTAGGAATATCATCTTTAATGTGGCTATCAAAATGAGGACAAGAAATCGTATTTTAACGTAGGCCGCCTATTTTAATTATTTTAATGTTATTGTCATCATAACCTCAGGCATGTGAGGAATCTGTATCAACCACCCTTATTAAAGTAGTTACAATTGGAACACCGCTGCACCTAATCAAACGTGTTATTAGAATGCAATAGATGATGGTCAAAGCTCTTAATGTGCTGGAATTACTGGTCATCCGATTCAACCAATCAATGGGATTTTATTGGAGAATAGAGACTAGAAGAGAGAAGAGGCTAGAATATCAACACATTTAGGAGACTGAGTCCTTCTGGCATGTGAGGGGCTGTATGACACCTCAGTGGAATAAATTTAAGACAGAAAAAAGGTTCAAAGATAGAGTCTTCAAAGCCTCTCTGCTTTTTCTTTATCTCAGTCAAGGTTTCTTCTCAATCCTTTCTTTTTTATTGGACAGTGGAGATTGGCTACTGAAATAAAAAAGATAATGTGAAAAAACAAAGAATCGAATATTAGCGAGCCACTGATTGGAGTGTAGGGCCAGTAACACCGGAACACTTCCTGTAATGAGCACCGTGGGTAACTGCGCCAGAGGCTTGGGCTACAAGACAATCCCTGGCCGCTGGCCCTGGATGGCTAGCCTTGCAGGACTGCTTTCTCTTAGTCTCAGGCAACCCTAACTTCAGATTCACAGAGTGTACCCAGGCCTACTCCCCTGGGCCCAGTGCCATTTCAGATTCACAATGACAGACATTGTTTGAAGCACATGACGACGGCCGGAGAATCCGGTCCTTGCTCATGCATGAGGAGTTAGCAGACTGAGACTAATGCAGGTTTTAATGGCCTTCCCTTCCTGCCTCAGCTTTCGTCTCC